CTGTGCGTGTGTGTGCGTGGGGGTGGGTGGGTGCCTGTTTGTGTGTTTAATTTATATATATTGGGTAAATTGTAAGACAAATGGAAAAAAGTTTATTTGTGCCGCTTTTTATCCGTAAGGACTTCATCGGACTGGCTTTGTTGACTTTGTTATGACTACGCATGAACGAGAGATGCTGGTAGTTTCAATTTTTTTTTAAATCTACTCAAATTCAACTTTTTTCTCTTTTTCTCTTTCTTTCTGTCATCTTTGTTATTAAAGATCCCGAATTGTGATAAAAAGTAAATCTGCCATGAATGGTGAAAGGTTTTAAGAACCTGGGCATAAATTTACTTTGGATGAACTATACACAGTCAACGAGGAAATTATTCGTACATCCATTAATTTTGAATATTTTTATCCATTTTTCAGAATCTAACAGCTGTATGGCGCCAAGTTTCTTATATGTTAATAATTACAATGAAGGGGATATAAAACTCAATTTTCAGAATAATAGATTAAATACAACAAATTTTACATGCGAATTATGCAAAATAGGAAAAGACAAAATTATTCGTAAAGTATGAAAAATACAAAAAATTGAAAAATTTTCACAATATTAATAATCAATATAATGCCCTCTCATCTTTATAACTTGCTGTAATCATTTTCCAAATTATTTGACGAATTTGAACGTCTTTTCTGGGATTTTCTTCCATTCTTCAATGGTTACACGTTGTAATTCCTGAAGGTTCTTGATGATTATTCGAACTTTCAATTCTTGCCATAGATTTTCAATAGGATTCAAGTCAGTACTCATTGAAGGTCATGGTAGAACTGTAATCTTCTTTTTCTGAAGCCACGCAGTCACTGATTTAGACGTATGTTTGGGATCATTATCTTTCTGGAAAGTAAATCTCTGACCTAGATGAAGAATTTGTGCTGATAGTTGTAGATTTTCATCCAGAATTTTGATAGAGTCTACAGATTTCATTATTCCTCTTACTGAAATTAATTGCCCAGTCGCCCTTGAGCTAAAACAACCCCAAAACACCATCGAAGCACCTCCATGTTTTAATGTTGACACTGCGTTTTTTGGAAGGAAAGCATCATCTTTCTTTCTCCAAATCTTCTGTACAGCATTATGTCCAAAAAGCTCAATTTTTATTTCATCAATCCATAGTACTTGTGCCCAAAAGTAATTTTCTTTATCCAAAAACATTTTGGCAAAATTAAACCGAGCAACAATGTGATATTGTTTATGAAGAGGGGTTTGTTGTGGCCGGTTTCCATGCAACCCATTTCTATTTAAACAACGTTGTATTGTGCGAGTACTTATACTGATACCCATCGTATCCAAACTTTTCGCGATGACTTTTTAAACAAATCTTGCGTTTATATTAACCTCGCGACACAGTTTTTGTGCGGTTCTCGATGACAATTTGGGTTTTCTTTCGCGCCCAAGCAAATTCTCTGTCGTGCCAATCTTTTTAAACTTTTTTTTTATAACGGACTGTACCATACATTTACGGATAGCTAACCGGTTTGAAATTATGTTGTAACAATTTCCCGACTTGTGGAAGTTCATAATTCTCTGTCTCAAGTCAACACTAAGCTCCTTTGTCTTCCGCCATCTTGTTGTTAACCTAAGAATAACAATGGCGACACTCTATGCACCACGTGATGTTCTTTGCTGGAACTATCACAAATATTCTACTGAAAAAATAGTCTAGAAGGCTTCACCGATAAAATAATTATGTAAATTATTTATACTTACACGAATCAATCAATTTAAAACGATATTTTCTACTATAGGAATAATTTTGACGATTTTGATTAATTCGCCTGTCAAATTTATTGAATTTAACCTATTGTTCAGAAAAGTGAGTTTTATATTCATTTACTTGTGCTTAATAAGATTAACAAAAAAAACTGGCATCATACGGGCATTAGATTCTGATAAAAGGATACAAATATTCAAAACTGATGGGCTTTTGAATAATTTTGTCGTTAACTTCATATATAATAATGGACTCTCGCGTCGGTTTCGACGTATGAGGATCTGACAGCTTAATCCATTCAGTTATGAAATTTTGTGCGATAATCTTAAGCGGCACTTAAGACCCGCTAGTGATTTACAAAGGAGGCCACATATGGAGCAAGTGTGAGGATTGTGAGATGAGATCACTGTTAGATTGGCTGACCTTTTAGAACTTACTCTCGCTTCTTGAAGATGATTCAGACAAGCAGATTGAAAATTGTTGAGTCCACTAAAACACGTTGATCTCCATTCTACCCGCTCCAAGGCTAAGCGCTCAAGGGTGTTATGTGGTATATTAACTGCTGACAAGTTGCTTTTCAGCTTGTCTTTGTATCTTAAAATGGGCGTCCTACATTCCTGTAGCCCTCATCTAACTGGCTGTACATTAGATCTTGGGTATCCTGTCATCAGACATTTCAAGACATGACCAGTCCACTGTGACTGAAACTGTAACTTCATATATATATATATATATATGTGTGTGTGTGCGTTTCACCTGAACATACATATATATATCATGTAAACTAAATTTTTTTTTTTTACATTCACTTTAAGAAGTTGCATACAGAAATGGAGGGATTACAATAAAATAGGCATGTGCCCAGATTATTCAACTAAACATGCTTTTGAATGAAGATACGCAGTTTTAAAATATACGTACATATATATATATATATATATATATATATATATATATATATATATATATATATATATATATATATATATTGAAGAAAGTTCAAAATGGTAAATTTTGATCGCATGCAAGTATATCCCTAGATATATTAATCTAAGTAAGAATTTTCTTATTTGAGATTTTTCTGTGGGGGGGTTGGTGTTTTTCTTTTTTCTCAAGAAATTCATTATAAAATCCGACATTTTGATGTGCAATTTTCATCCCAAGATCACACCATAAACATGCAACTGCATCGATCAGAAAAAAAAAAAAAACATAATTGAATACAAAACTTCTGCGTGAAGGCTGATACCATTGAAGGTTTATCTTGAGAACCGGTTGTGCGTACTTGATGTAATTTGCAATCAGTACGCAACTTAATGCGCATGTGTGATCAGATGACTGCCCCTTAAATTAGCCAGAAAAAAATGACAATGAATGAGTTTGTATGTAGTTTGAGACAAACTGAATCTTTTCCAGAGTTAAAGCTACGTTTGAAATGCAGATGATTCCAGTCTGTTGATAGGATAAAGAGAATGTAACAAAACACCTGATGGAGAACCAGAAAAAAATGTAATTACCTGCCTCTATGGAATGGATATTAGAATCAGTGTATAATATTCCCGAAAAAAAAGTAGATTTCTTTAGAGATTTACTTAGTGTTTTGGATTCTCAGAATAAATCCATTTTTCATCGCCAGCGACCATCTTTTTCCCAAGTAGATTTTCTATAATTTGAGATGTTGAAGACTTTCGTGGATCTTGACACAATTTCCTTCCTTTTGGATTCTCGTAATAAATCCATTTTTCATCGCCAGTGAACATCTTTGCACCAGTAGATTCTCTCCAGGTTCAGATGTTGAAGGTTGTCCTGAATCTAAATACGTTTTTTTTCCTTTTGCATTTTCTTAATAAATCCGTTTTTCATTTAGAAGTGACCATCTTTTACCCAGTATATTCACTAGATTAGATGTTAACAGTACATAAATTGTTAAACCTGAGATCGTTTTTGTGTTCATAAATAGGCTATGGATTATTCTCCAGAAGATTCTCTGAGATGTTGAAGGCTGTCCTGGATCTAGACAAGATTTCCTTTATTATGGATTCTTGTAATGAATCCATTTTTCATCACCAGTGACCATTCTTTTTCACCAGTTGATTCTCTTTAATTTGAGATGTTGGAGGCTGTCCTGAATCTAGACACGATTTTCTTTGTTTTAGATTCTCTTAAATGCATTTCTCATCGCCAATGTCCATCTTTTTCCCCAGCAACATCTCTTTAGGGTAACATGTTGGAGGCTGTCCTGGTTCGAGACACGATTTTCTTTGATTTAGATTCTCTTAATAAATGCATTTTTCATCGCCAATTGATATTTGTCTTCGTTTCTTTCTTATATGTTTTTCTTCGTTTAGGTTTCTTTCCATGGGTTACTTTCATATTTCCCTGTGTCGAATGAGAGAATAAAGTTAAATTTTTAATATCTTAGCGTTGTTTATTACCAAAAACTAATATGAAATCCATTTTCATTATTTTTTCCCTCAAGGTTTGTACAAGACTGATTAGAATTGACTGTTTTCACAAGAGCCAAAGATCTAAGAAAAATCTAAGTTGCTTTCCAAATTTACCAAAGATGGCGCTATTAACATTAACCTAATTTTAATATTTTTTTATCAAAACGTTTCAGATTCAGGCTTTTAGATTTGATAATAATTTATGATTTCTTTTCAGAAAAAAAAGTAAGGATAATTATGTCTGAAAATATTTCTTATGCTTTCTGCAAATGCGTGAAATTATTTCCCAAATAATACGTTTTTATACGTGTCATTAGGTACGAGAATGTGTATTCTCCTTTTAGTCTGAAGTATACGTACAAGAGAAATGTAAATATGAACAAACTAAGATAGATAATATAGACTGATAGAAAGAAAGAAAGAAACAGTTTGACATAGATAGATAGATAGATAGATAGATAGATAGATAGATAGATAGATAGAATAAATTTAGATAAATAGAAAGAATAAATTTAGATAAATGGATACATACATACATAGAAAGAAAGAATAAATTTAGATAGAAAGAAAGAATAAATTTAGATAAATGGAAAGAATAAATTTAGATAGATAGTAAGAAATGATAATTTATGATAAACAGATATATATATATATGTACAGCGTGTAATATATATATATATATATATATATATATATATATATATATATATATATATGTATATGTATGTATGTATGTATGTATATATATATATATATAAGTATACGTATAAGAGAAAGGTAAATATGAACAAACTGAGATAGATAATATAGATTGACAGAAAGAAAGAAACAGAATGAGATAGATAGATAGATAGATAGAAACAGAATGACATAGATAGATAAAAAGAAAGAAAGAATGGCATAGATAGATAGATAGATAGATAGATAGATAGATAGATAGATAGAATGGCATAGATAGAAAGAAAGAAAGAAAGAAAGAAAGAAAGAATGGCATAGATAGATAGATAGATAGATAGAGAGATAGATAGATAGAATGGCATAGAAAGAAAGAAAGAAAGAAAGAAAGAAAGAAAGAAAGAAAGAAAGAAAGAAAGAAGGAATGGCATAGATAGATAGATAGAATGGCATAGATAGAAAGAAAGAAAGAAAGAAAGAAAGAATGGCATAGATAGATAGATAGATAGATAGATAGAATGGCATAGATAGATAGAAAGAAAGAAAGAAAGAAAGAAAGAAAGAATGGCATAGATAGATAGATAGAAACAGAATGACATAGATAGATAGATAGAAAGAAAGAAAGAAAGAAAGAAAGAAAGAATGGCATAGATAGATAGATAGATAGATAGATAGATAGATAGATAGATAGATAGATAGATAGAAAGAAAGAATGGCATAGATAGAAAGAAAGAAAGAATTAGATAGATAGATAGATAGATAGATAGATAGATAGATAGATAGATAGATTGGGATGGCTACTGACTAACGGTATAATTCACATTTATCTCATTACACATTTATTGATTCATACATGTCCGTACTAATTTTTTCCTTTGTTTTTGCCCGAACATTAGTGAACCGCCATGCCATTGGCTTAGAGAATTGAAGTAAAAATGGCAAACAAACACAAAACAAAACCTCGTCTCATACAACTCTTCGATGTTTTTTGCCTCGTCAAGAAGTAATTTCACTCAAGCTATTTGCCTTTCCGCATTGCAAAATGACCGACTGATTAAGCAAGCAATAATGCCGCCCAAATTTACATTTCTCTTAGTTATTCGTTTGCAGTGTAAATGAAAGACTGACTGCTAATTCATAGGGCACACTTTCCTCTCTCCTCCCTCCTTCTCCATCTCACTCCTTCTCCCTCCTCCATCATCTCTCTCCTTCTTCCTCTTTCACCATCTCTCTCGTTCTCTCTCCTTCACATCTCTCTCCTTCTACCTCCTCCATCATCTCTCTCCTTCTTCCTCTTTCACCATCTCTCTCTTTCTTTCTCTCTATCTCTTTTTCTATATCTCACTTGCAATTTGGAATAATTATTTCCTGACATATATATATATATATATAGAGAGAGAGAGAGAGCGAGAGAGATATAGATAGATAGATAGATAGATAGATAGATAGATAGATATAATATTATCAATAATGTGATTTAAAAATATGGCTTCATCGCTACACTGGAACTGCCATGTTTCAAAAACAGAAACTAAAAACTTCAAATTCAATTATATAATTAAATCAAAAGCATTAAATCTGTTTCATGCTCTGTAAATTTACATTGAGCACTGTTTTGCAAAAATAAAAATATCAATAAGATATAATTATCAATTATATATCTTACTGTTCTTTCTTTTTTACTATAATATATATATATATATATATACACTCGACTCAACCGTCGAATTCGACGTATGAGGGTCAAGCAGATCAGTTCCTAGGAAACCGACAGCCCGACACCAACACATGAGATTTGATTATAGTGGTGAAGGCCTCGTGCAGGACCATCCACACTTTTTGAAGGGCCGAATTCAGAGACCTGGTGCACTATGTGCCACAAGGTCTCCAAACGACCCTCCGCAGGTTTTGAATTCAGAGTTGTCCTTCTCCTAGACCAGTTGCAATCCAGTGCTATAGAGCCCAGTCTGTCCTGCTATTTACCCATAGCTGGAGGGAGAAGAAGAGGATTCACACATTTCCCAAGGGTATTAGCACGTAAGTGAATGTAATGGAATCGACTGGAATTCGAACTCGGCTCTCCGATGCCTCAATCCTCTCTCTCTCTCTCTCTCTCTCTCTCTCTCTCTCTCTCTCTCTCTCTCTCTATATATATATATATATATATATATATATAATGGGTATAATATTATGATCTATATGTATACGTTTTGAACAATGAAAAATATTAAGAATTGAAAATTTTCAGACACTGGGTTGTATATTAATATTTTTTGTGTTATTATTTCAGTTAAGTTCCTCGACTAGTTTCGGCCAGCGTGGCCATCATCAGAAGAAAAGAAGAAATCCCTGCTTGTTAGTAGCAGTTACCTACAGGAGTGAATGACTGTCTCTGAAGAAAGTGAAAGTGAAAGTGAAAGTGAAGTGTAATTTTCACTTGTTTTTTTTTGGGGGGGGGGTCAGTTAAACGGCCTCTCTCTTTCTGAATTTGCTGAATGAATGTTGGTACTATTACTGAAGGTTCGCTTTCTAACCATGAGACCCGGGTTCGAATCTCACCACGGTTGATTTGTTAGGAAGGAGACGGTTATCGGTCTGGAGTGCGGCACTTTTGGAAAGTGACTGAAAACCATACCAATTTAAATTGGGACGTCGATAGCTATGTGTTAGCAAGAAGTCATCGTAACCGAGGGTTTGAGTGTGCTTTGTTCGGATTGTTGATCACGCTAGATAACACGGTCTCTCCCAGAAACTGTAACTAAGGTCTGCTCAGCATAGTTGCAGTATAAAGCACAGGTGGGCTCTTGTGGGTGTTGAACAAACACAAATGTGCCTGAGTGATCGTCTGCAATAGAGATTGGTTAACCGCCCCAATAGACGGGTATCCTCGAATACGAATGACAGAGATATATATATATATATATATATATATATATATATATAGGCAGAAATCCTTCCTTTATGCATGTTTCATTAAAAACGACAGACAAGGTACTACGGTTGAGCTTTTTATTTAATTTTTCTTGTGTTGTGACAAGAGCTTTCTTTTCTGTACAAAGGGTGTGTAAGAACTGCCCAAATGTTTTATATTTCCGAGCGTTTTCGGCTATACCTTTAGCCATTATCAAGGATGATTCGATTTTTCAGTTTAATTGAGTGCGTGCATTATGTGTATGTCTTAGTGTGTGGTAGGGATGTTTTTAATTTCCAAATACGGTTAGCACATTGTGGCTTTGTTCGTAGTTAATATTGTTAAGAGTCGGCTTTTTCTTTTTTATTATTAAAGCTTCCATTATTTTTAGTCTTTTTTTGCAGGTGGATGCAGTTAATATATTTGTGTTTTCAACTAGTGTATTCCTAATGGGATCGGGTAAATCTGTGCGCGTGTTTAAATAGGCTCTTACACACCCTTTGTCCAGAAAAGAAAGCTCTTGTCAGAACACAAGAAAAATTAAATAAAAAGCCCAACCGTAGTACCTTGTCTGTCGTTTTTAATGAAACATGCATATATATATATATATATATATATATATATATATATATATATATATATACCCAGCCGCATCTCTCTAGTAATCACTTTCAACCCCACTTTTCAACCCCACTCTACCTCCACTATCCCAAATAATCAAAAGTCGCTGGGAAATACTGCATCTCAAACCAGACCTAAAAAAAGAATTGTTTGAGGAACCCTAAATCTACTTTCAAAATCTACCACGATTCTAACTGTAGAAGTCATAACATAATTTACCTCCTAGAATGCACACTATGCCAGAAACAATATGTAGGAAAATCTGAATGGCCCTTTCACTACAGAATTAATAATTATTGCAATCGAATTAAGTCGACCCCCCATGAAAAATTATTACCTGTAGAACAACATTTCCGCCTAGAAAAACACGATTTTTAAAACCCATGCCAAATTCACTATAATTGAGAGAATAGGATAGTTTAAAACAGATAACATTAGAAAGATTTTAGAGTCCCATGAAAATAAGTGGATACAACGTCTAAAAACACAATATCCAGCCGGGCTTAATCACTAATTTAAAAATATAGATAGTATTAATATATAATGCACACACCCATACGAATATACACGCTTACACACATCATACTCACTCCCTAAGAACCAAATAACACGCACACACTTAACAGAGACACATCCCCTGTCCAGTATCCAATAAAACTGTCAAAATGACTAAGGGAATTCAGAGCAGCATGAATCAATCCAGCTCTTATCTTAAATAACAACTTAAAAGAGACTGTTTGACCAACACAAGAACTGACCAAAATTCACTTTCAAAAATATAAAAAATGAAAAACAAATGAAAAAACAAATGAAAACTATAGACAAAAGTTCATTTTTTCTATCAAGACATTCATTTCTGAAGTTCACTGCTACCAGCAAGCAGAATTTTTTTTTCTCCTGATGAAAGCCATGTTGGCCGAAACTAGTCGAGGAATCTAAATGAAATAATAATAAAAACGAAAGAATATTAATATAAAACCCAGTGTGTCTGAAGATTTTAATTTTTTAATATTTTTTATTGTTCAATATATATATATATATATATATATATATATATATACACTCACACAGTTTTCGACGTATGTGGTTACAGCAACTCAGTTCTTAAAGCGGAACAGATAGATTCATACCTTTCCCAATGGTATTTGCGCATAAATGAATGCAACACCAAATTCTTTTTTGGCCATGCTGATGTACAGCTAAGAAATGCTTCACATTCCCTGAGTTCGTTTATGGCACTGATGGAACCTCTGTGCTATGGCGAGATCACAACACATAAAACCCTTTCCTTCAAACACTGTTGCAACCAACGAAAGTGAGCGAGAACGCATGCGCAATGGAGTTAAATACACACACACACACACACATATATATATATATATATATATATATATATATATATTGAACATAGAAGTCAACACTTAGAGGCCACAGTCTATTTCATGCTAGCAATACGGTGGCCTGACGATTACGTCTAGCATGAAACAGCCTGTCGCCTCTAAGTGTTGACTTTTATGTTCACTTTTATATTTACACACGCTCTATCTCTGATATTGAGCACTTTATCCCATAAATCTGAAGACTATATTTCTTCATATATATATATATATATATATATATATATATATATAGGTTGACGCAAAAAAAGGGGAACTATTTAACAATCCAATAAAACCAAGAGTGATGGAAGATAAATATTTTATTCATAGTAATTGAAACCTTAAAACATGCCATTTAAGAAACAATGATGGAATTTTCATTTTTTTTAAATTACTTCCTGTAGATGGCGTCTTCCTCTGCGAATGTATTCTTGAAATCTGCTGTTGAGATTCCTCATTGACTGCTGCAACATCTCATCTGGGATATTGTGAATTTCATCTTGAATTCTAAATGGCGAAATGTTTACTTGCTCAAGGTCACTGTCTCGCAGTGTTGCCACTTGCTCATGTCTGGCAATACGCACTTAAAACATTCCTGTTTTTGGGGTCACCTATATATATATATATATATATATATATATATATATATATATATATATATATATATATATATAGAGTTTATGATATAAAATTTGTATATTCGTATTATCGTAAACACAGTTTCAAATGTGACAGATAATTCCTTATGAGTTATCTATGTATCTATTTCTGTATGCTTTTTAACTATCTACCTATCTATCTGAGACTGTTCATATCTATTGATCTCAGTCTGTTCATTATCTATCTATCTATCTATCTATCTCTTTCTAAGGCTGTTCATATCTATCTATTTCATCCTGTCCATATCTATCTATCTATCTATCTATCTATCTATCTATCTATCTATCTATTTAAGGTTGTTCCTATTCTTATTTCTATCTATCTATCTATCTATCTATCTA